TTTTAAATTTATATTTGTTTCTATAATCTCGTGGTCAAGTTGAAAGATATTTTTCGCAAATATCCTGGAAAATACGATGGATGTGAAGTTGTTCTTGAAGTTATAATGAAGAACGTTGCGGATTTTGGCTGATGACAGAAGAGACAGTGAAAGAGTGTGTTTTTAGTTATCATCTGAAATGAAGTGATCTCTGAAGTTTCTATGGCTTACATCAGTGCCATTGAGGGTGTTTCCGATCGTTAACAATATTCCCATCGCGGTTCTGAACGTTTTCGAGTCTTCAATTTCTTTCATGGCCAATTGCAAATCCATCAATGGTTCGGCGATATCCTATATCATGCAATTGATGTTAAACTGCTAGTGCAATTAATGACTGATTGAGATCTATCTTTAGACGTGAAGATTCATTTGTATCTTCTCACGTAAATAAATTCGATTAAATATATTCAATTTTCGATGCTGAATTTTCATTAGGAGAAATCCAGAATTTGTAAATTTTCAAATATTCCGAAGATGTATGAACGTGGAGTTTCGAAGACTAAGAGTTACTTTTGAGAATTAACTTAAGCGAATTGGATTCCCTCATTCGAGCATAGCAAGATAAAGAGCGAATGCGAAAAGTCTGTAACAGAACAGTTGGTATTCGAATAACCTTTTCACAGTTTTTATAATCGAGAGTGAATGACCACAATCGAAGTCGTTCCAAAAGACACGGTATTTGTGATAGCTTCAACATGAATTGTTCGGCTTGTCCCAGTGGCATATCGGGATGTTCGGCAGATTTAATTTCGATAGCCTCAATTTCCGCTGGGCTTGGCATCATTGTTGCGAGAATCTTTTCGATTCCCTCTTTATTCAGTACGAGTGAATCGAATTTCTGAAAATGCCAAATCAAACGAAATCAATTTCGCAAGGAAAGTTTCTTTTTCGGGATAAATTTTTGTACGGCTAACGGAGATTCTTCTAGTGTTTACTGTTGAATAATTTGGCAGTTTAGAATATCAACATTGCAATAGTCTTCGAACAAAAATTGCGTTTATTGTATCTATTAAGAACTTAGAATTCATTGGTTGACGACTTTGAATGTCGCTTGATTATTTCTTGTCCAAATTTTGGTAGATATACAATTCAGATGAACTGACCATAATCGCAGTAGGGATCACATTGATTGGTGGCAACTTCGTGAGACCGATATTGATGGCTTGTGAGCGTTTCAACGAAAGAACTTGCAGAACCTGTGGCTTGTGTTCACCGTTGGTTTTCTGAAGTTTGAATGAAATTGTTTGTCTGAGAACTTAAATTCCAATGAGTGAGAGCAATCGCTACGTGAACATGGGAATTCTCTCCAAGACATAATCTTCACAAGTGGAATAGTAACCATAATAACTACTTCAGAGTAATCATTAACGTTATTTTCATAGATCCATTCCATTTTTGAACATTGAACAGCGGAGATTTCATGCATAAACAAGTGTTGACTATTCGAGGGAAAGTGTGAATAAAGTATGGAATGTCTCCATTTCATTCAGTGATAACGATTGTGATGGGGAAATTTTGGTTTATCATGCTGTGATATGTGCTGCAATCGTTTGGTATGTGGATGATAAGTGAGTGCTTTGATCGTGCGCAATAATTTTAAAGTATTCGAATTCCGACAAACTAACACCAATTCGTCAACAAATGGCATGATGAGAAACTCCAAAAATTTTTCATTTTCGACGACAAATAATTGAAATTCGAAACTTTCCCCTGCTCGATTCTTATTGTAGCAAAATATCAGAACCAATTTTTTTTCATATCCGGCCGAGAAGTGCGTTTTTCAACAACTTCTCATGCCTCTCGGATCATTCTTTCTGAACAGGAATGACAGTTCGAGAGGAAATTCATTCCATTGGAAAATGGGTGTCTCAATCACAAACGGATCAGATGTGAGTGATCAAGAAAGAATTTCTCTGGATGAAAACGGTAAGAACATGCCCTGATTGTGATATAAACACTGTAAAATCACACCATCAAACATATGCACACACACACGTACACTACAAACAAACACTACAATATCAGTCAATCAATGGTGATAATTTGCAAATGATGACGACTAGTCGAATGAAACGATGATCACAAGAGCTTACCGCTGGTTTACCGAGTGTCTAAAAAGATCAAATAGTACAGGTGTATTGTATGCGAAGCAAACAAAGAAATTTTCGAAGCGGAAAGTGTATGTGGAATGAATTTTTTATGCAACTCAAGCGTATGGAACAGAAAATTGTTTTTGAGATGATTATTGCAATTTCATTGGATTGGGATCGGAAAATTGGAGTTGTTGGAAAGTAATAGTAAGCAACAGTCTGAAAGCAACAGAAAGTTCGCGAACTGATGTGAAGGTAATTTGAAAATTTCGACAGAAATGGAGGTTTCTGATTAAGAATGATGCTTGGGGAGTGCTGACTGACCTTCGGTGCTATGTCCTTGGTTCGTTGCTCGAACAGTTGCGCTAATTTGTTGGTATCAATCGGCGGTAAGTCGAGTTTATGCCAGAATGATCCTTTGTTTTTCAGTGCGGGTACTGGAGGCGGTTCCGCTTGCGCCGGTTTCCAGTGCAATTTCAGTGTACTCGTTTTGGATGTACCTAAATGAGGTGCATTTCAGAACTGTGAATGAACGGAAACCGAATATTTCAATTAGAATGGTTTGCATGAGCCATTGTTTCCCTGACTGAAAACTGAACACCAAAATAAGTGAGCATTTCGTCGATTTTTGGTTGATGTGTACACGACGACGAATTCAATTCGACGGAATGTTCCGACCTGGACTAATATCACGTCCTCGATTACCTGCATTAGGCGCAAGCAATGGCGGAGGAGGAGGAGCACCGCCGATTCCAGGCAATGGAGGTGGGGCTGGAGGTGGTCCGCCAGGGAATTTTGGAGCTGAAATAAAACGACTTTGAAGAATTTGATTGCCAAACTTAATCTGATTATGAGATTGAGAATTTTGAATTTAAATGATCAAAATTTGATGAACACAGTCATGATCATGATTGACGACAGTCAACTGTACGAATCGCTCGTGATAATTAAAAAAATATTTGAACATACACTGGAATGCCATTCAAATACAATCAATCATTTCGATGAATTCACTAAGAAACATGCTTTATGGATGTCTAAAAGAACTAGAGTATTGCTTAGAATGTAGAATGACTAGTTATTGACTGGTAAGAACTTCACACGAATATCTCAATAATGCGTGGACAAGCACAAATTATCCACTATGAGATTAATTGCAAAGCTCTTTAAATCTGAACATAGAAAATCAAGATACTGACGTGGTGGAGCACCGCCACCAGATCCCGGTATAAGGCCTTTCTCTTGAGCGATAACGGCTAATCGTGCCATTACAAGCGGATCTTGCTCAAATTCATCGTTGTGAAATTCAGAGAAGTCCAAATCGTTGATTATTAACGGCTTTGATTTGAAGTTTTCAGCTGCCTGAAATGGAAAAGTGAACAATAGAATTTCTTCGAATTCCTTCAGTTATTCTCGCCAGAAAGACATCGATACATCGTTGGAGATAAAGATGAATTAAACAACAGCAGAAAATACTCCAATTGTTAAACCTTTTTCCATTGCGTTTCCGATTCACTGAGTTTTGGCTCGAAAGTAGGGGCAACTGCTTGCTCTCGTTTCGCGGCACGACGTCTTAACTGTGCTGCAAAAGCATTACCACCACCCGCGTCATCGTCATCATCGATTATCTGACAATATTTTTTTCCTTTCTTACGGACAATACTTTCACTGATTTCATTAAAATATGAATAAAAGCAATATGAATAAATGCTCATCGTATTACAGCAATAACAATCGTTCAGAGTGAAAACACTGCGTAAAATATTGCGGAACCTTCGCTTTTGGAGGAGCCGGTTTGGCTGGTTCAGGTGTAGCTGGCTTTGGCTCGGGTTCCTTCGGCTTCTCTTTCTTCGGCTCGGGGAATTCGATTTTCTTGTTATCAGTCGGCGAGAATATTGCTGGAAATGCCGGCGGAGGAGCGCGAACCTGCAAAAAAAAGACTTTTCGCTTGTCAAGAAAATTTTGTATTTAATCCATTCAGTGAGGATATGATAAGAGGATATCAGCGATTTCACAGAGAATTTTAGAAGGATTATGCGGGAAATCATACGGATCTGTTAGAATTATTTAGCCAGAGGTAATCGAAACGCGTGATGATAATATACCGACCCGTTTTTCTGGCTCCACATTTTCGTTATTCTCTTCTTCCTTATTACCGTTTACTAAGTTGAGAGGTTTAGGTTTGTTCACAACCTGGGCTGGTTGTGGAGCAACACTGTGAGATTCGACTTCTTTTGCCGGTTGAGATGGCTGAAAACGAATCGAAATAGATAGTATAAGGACAGAAAAATCCATAAATAAAATTATTTTAACTCAGAAATTCCAATGGGAAATGAAAGGCTCTAGCACTGATGACAATTATGACGAATGTTTTGGACAATAATTTCAAACAATGAAATAATCGGATAATGTCAAAATCTCAACAAATCAAAGCTCACCACATTGTTATTCGCATCATTTTTCTTCTCCACCTCAATATTCGGCGGCTCTTCGGACATTTTACGCCTCCACGGTGGAACGATTTTATTTGGTTCCGGAATACCGTTCGTTAGAGGTCTTCAATTGAACATCGATAATAATCAAGAATCGCACAGCAACATGCAAAGTTACAAGCTTATCTCTACGATAATACAATAATACCACGGATGAGTATCCGCTTTTTGGGTCCACACAGTCTAAAGTTGTTTTTTCTCAGTTGAAGTCATTCAGTAAATTGTTCGTCGCTCACTTATCATTTTTATCAATGCTGCTGTTGATATTATTATTGATGGCATTAATCTTGTGGAAGTTTTGATGCTCTTGCTGCCTTGCCAGCGATTCTTGATGCCGCCGTCTCATAACGGCACGTCGATCGTTCGACAATATCTGAGGGCTATTCGTCTGATTCCTGAATAAATGCTCGAGGTTATCTGTTTTAGACGTGAAGCCATTTGCAATATTATCTGAATGGTTCCCGAGAAATAGCTGCTTCGTGACTCCGGAAATCATTACAATTTAAATCATTACAATTTGTTTGTCAGCTGACATCAAATACAGTCGGCATATAAACTAACAGGAAAATTAGAGTAATTTCGCAAACTTGCCTCATTTTCACAATATTTGACTCTTCATTACTCTCGTATTCATCCTCTTGTTTCAAAACCTTTTCGTACAGTTTGCACTGATCAACCAGTTCCTTATGTCCCAGACGTACCATATGCTTCATGGCATCTTCCAACCCTTGCGATTCCAATGCATCAACTATGTCATAATAAGTGTCCTTGAAACAGAACTTCAATTAGCCGTATATAATACTCGCAACTGAATAAGCACCGCTATAACACTATCATCAAATGGATTTTATATATAATCGCACGTTCAAGTGGAAGTGTTCCAGAAATTTTGACGTTCCGAAGGTGTTTTATTTTCCATTTTATTTAATATTTATTATTAATTCATTAATAGATGTTGCGTATGGTGTGTATGAATTAATGTAGTTTAGACGCAACTTTAAAAATACGTACAAAATTAACCTGATCTGATACTCCATTCAGCGTTTTGTTGATAACGGTCATGCCGTACGTTAACATTTCTACATCATTGCTATCCTTCTCATTCAATACCTTCATTAGACCGAACCAATCGGGTCGACCTGCACAACAATTTGAACTTTCATTCACAAATGATAGCTCTTTTTAAATAACAATATTGCACGATGGTGCAATTTCATTCATTCCAGAAGGGCGATTTTCTCAAAATGGACGAAAACAATCACAAAATTTGCATTTTTCAATGGCAACATTGCGTCAAATCATTGAATTCAAATCTTTAGATGAGAATATTTCTGCATTAATCGTTAAACATCCCCCCCTACGTCCCTACTGAAAAGCATTCCAATCATCGACATTCATAACAGTCATGAATGGTAACTGTTCAAAGGATAACAACCTACCGTTAGCTTTATCCACATTCGTGACTGCCGTCATCAAGAGTAAGGCATTATGATCCGTATACTCAATGAATACCAATAACAACTTCAACGCGGTCTTCACAACTAAGCGAAACTGAAATTTTGAATCAGTGAATTCAGTTGTCCTCAAAAAAAAATTGTCAGAGAGATATAGAGACACAATACAATACATTCTCAGAAGACATGCGTTTCTTCGCTTGAATATTTCATTACAAAGGGAATACAGTGCAACAATATGCCCAAAATATCTGCGCTCAATTTTTAGAACATATATTCTTCTAATGAATTGTCCTGAACAGTCGCTTTGGACGAGTCTGACATCGTATATCATTGAATTTTTTTTGACAAATGAAAAAAAATCTAAGAGGAG